AGCACGGTGCCCCTTTTGATCAGGAGGCATCTCGGTCTGTAATGTCCCTGGGACATCCTTGTCAGGTATTTGTATCAAGGTTGTGCTGGCCTCATAAAATGAATTAGGAAGTATCCCATACTCCTTTATTTCTGTAAGAGTTTGTGTAAAATTGCTGAGGTTTCTTCCTTAAATGTTTGACAGAATTCACCAATTTCTGTTATTCAAGGCTGTAGTTTTAGTTATGGGAAGGCTTTTTATTACAACTTCAGGTTCCTCAAGAGAATTAGGACTACTCTGAGTTTTTATTTCTATTTGTTCTAATATTGGTGTATGTTTTTCAAGGAATGTGTTATTTTTTTCCATGTTGTCGAATCTATGTTCATATATTTGTTCATACTATTTCTTACTATCTTTTAATATCTGTAGCGTCTGGTGGTGTCCCCTTGTACATTTATGATACTGGCAATGTGAGTTTTCTCCTTTTTCTTAATCAGTTTTTCATTAAGTTTTGTTAATTTTTTAAGGAATTAACTTTTGGCTTTATTGATTTTTCCATTGTTTTCTATTTTATTGATTTCTGCTCTTGACATTAGTATTTTCTTCTAATTACCTCAGGTTTAATTTGGCATTCTTTTTCTAACTTCTTAAGGTATAAAACCATAGCTAATTCAAGCATTTAAATCTGTAAATTTCTAATTACTGCACTGAGAAAGAAAAGAACTTGCTGTTAGCTGCATTCCACAAATTTTTGGTATCTTCTATAGTTTTCATATTTTACATTTTCACATTCCATTTAAAATACCCTTTTATTTTCCTTGTATTTTCTTTTTTGAGCCCAAAGGTTATTTAGAAGTAAGCTATTTGATTTCCAAATATTTTGAGACTTTCTAAATAACTTTTTGTTCCTGACTTTTAATTTAATTCTGTATGGTCAGAGATTTTATGGTTGTAATTCTTCCAGGTTTATTGTGACTTATTTTGTGCTGAGCACATAGTCTCTCTGGATGAACATGCCATGTGCACTGAAACATGTATACTGTCTATTTTTGTGTATTGTTCTACAAATGTCCGTTAGGTCGAGGAGGTGGGTAGTGTTTCCACTGATGTTTCTTTACTACTTTTTTTGTCCAGTTCCATTAGTTGCTGAGACACAGGTGTTAACATTTCCAGCTATGCTTGCAGACTTTTCTGTTTCATCCTCCGGTTCTGTCAATTCTTGTCCATAAATTATGAGGCTTTGAAATTAGCTGCACTCATGTTTTGTATCTGTTGGGTAATACACCCTTTTATTTGAAGAATGTTTTTGCTGAGTATGGTATTCCAGGTTCACAGTTCATTTTTGCTGTTAGCGCATTAAAGCTGCATTCCCTGGTCCTCTGTTTCCATTGCTCCTGATGAGGGGTTGGCCACTATTTGTCATGTTCCCACTTTCCTCTTTATCCTAGGTTTTCAGCAGGTTGACTATTATGTGATTAGACATGATTTCCTTGGTATTCATCCTCCTTGCTTTTCACTGACACTTCTGAATCAGTGTCTTACTGTTTTTTAAATCAAATTTGGAAAAAAACTGATCATTATTTCTTCACGTCTCTTTCCTGACTCCTTGCATCTCTCCTGTCCTCCTAGGATTTGACTGCCTTTAAGTTAGGCCCCTTATACTTTCCCACAGCGCACTAGGGCTCTGCTTATTTTTTGTAAATATTTTTGTCTTTGTTTCTGTTTGAAAATTTTCTACTGACTGGTCAGGTTTAACAACTTTTTTTCTGTTTTAATCTATTTGTTGTTAATACCATCTAATAAATGGTTTGACAAGCTATCTGGGCACTCAGAGACCCAGCCAAGTTGACATATAAAACTAATCATCACACCTGCTCTCTGTGATCCCTGTGGCTCAAAACACTCTGATTATCATTCTGTCCCTGCTGTGTATTATAGTAAATGCAGCCCCCTTAATTCTGGTGACTGAACACTGCCATTCGGCTTCTGCTACTGTAGGATCCTATCAGCCTCACTGAAAGTGAAGGCAAGGAAGGCTCAGAGTGAGCAGGGCTTTCCTTTAAAGGCCACTCATTATTTATATCCAGGCATTTTTCTAAGGTTTTCTTCAAACTAACTTCTAATTTTCACGTGTCCTGTTGTGGGGAGGCGCGGTCAGCCGTCCCACCTCCTGGCCCTCCAGAGAGAAGCACTTTCCATCGCGGTGTGATGGCCCCTTCCTTGGCTTCCTCTCTGTGTCCCATTTCTATTCCATGGCTTTTTTTAACCCATACTGTACTTATTTCTCTCCTTCCTCTCCTTGACCATGAATTTGTTAGTGTATAAATTCCCTTTTAATCTGTGTCACTAGGCCTTGCATCAGTGCCTGGAAGAGTTAGGAATGTAAATTTCAAAAATTAAATTTCTGTAACATTGATATTCTGCAGTTTGGTGAGCATATATTTCACTGTGTGGTTTGGGGTATTTTTATAGATGACAGCTTCTATCTCATCCCTTTCTTTGGACTCTGAGTGACTAGTTTTACAGCCTTTTTCCAGCTCTTCCACTTGTCAGAGTTCCCACACTATGCCAGGTAAAGATAAAACATAATTTGGTTTGAAACTAGAAAGTAATACCCACTTGTTTTCTCAAAAACCTGAAGGACATCATTTTCCAACCACTGCTGTTTATGTGTTTGGACTCTCTCTGAAAGTCAGATTGGAAGCCCACTGAAACAAGTTAGCTGTGGCCCAGATGGGTGGCCATCAGCTCCATGAAGCATGTCTTCCCCACACCCTTTGCTTCCTGCTTCCTGTGGGCTCGTGACCAGGGAGAAGCCTACCGCGGGAGACCAGGCTTTCTCTTCCTTCACTTTTGAAGTGGAGAAAAGAAATTGCTCACTCTTGTGGGGTCAGCCTGAGGACTGGCTGACTCAAATCTCAAAACCATGGTTCAGCTGATGATCGTCAGAGTATGGGCATCTCAGTGATTGTCCTGGCGTTGGGGGCAAGTGCCCTGAACCCAACCTGCAAAGAATGGCCTGTGGGGCACACACCGGGGCAGAGTTGACTCATTCTCATGCTGGTGTATTTGGCAACTATAGGCATTGGTTTTAATTTAATCAACACTTAACTCCAGCTTGCTAAGAGTGAACAGGATGGGTTGACTATGCATTGTTAGCACTGTGCTTACATATTTAAACTCTATTAAGGATTCCTTGACCCATAGAAATAATGGCCAGTGAGCTTGAGATAAAGGCCCCCTGGCTCTTGCTGACACCAGGAGCTCCTTATTTAGACTATTTATAGCTCTGGGTTCTTTTCTTTGTGAAAGAGATTTTCTTCAGGGACTGAAAAGAAGCAGAGGAGGAAGAGAGGCAGAGGCGGCTGCAGAGAGGTGGCCTGCCTGACCCTCTGTCTCCACTGTTACTAGTGTGCAGGTTTTCCGTACGAGGGCAGACAGGCATTTCTGAGTCATTTGGTGGAACTGCACACAGTGCAGAGTTCACTTGGGCTTTGTCTAAATCAGCATAGGATGGAATGGCAAGTGTTAGGCTAATGGGCAGGTCTTCAGATTAGGTAGAAAACATGCCACTTAATTACAAGCCTGAGGCACTCGTCAGAGGTTTGTCCTGAAAGCCCCAGGCCCCTCTCCTTTGCTCCCCAGCAGACGGCAGCCCTAATACAGCTGCTGTGCCCACTCTAGCTGTCTCCTTGGAGCATCCTGAGGGCCACTTTAAAAGGCATCTGGGCACTTACAGTGGCTGGTCTCATCGGCTGAAGGCAGGACTAACAGGGTCTGTGGGAAAGTATTTGGCACAGCCGCCAGCAGGGACGTGGGCAGGCTGTCCCTGCAGGCCTGGGAGTTTGAGCTGATGGCAGGGGGCAGACTGTGCTTTGGTGAGCCTCCTGTTTTGTCCCCCAGATTTGTACATACAGTCTGTGCTGTCTCCATAGCAATCATGGGGTCCCACCCTGTTGTATAAGCACATCTCGTGCAAATTGTTTGAGGGTCAGACTTTTTGGAATCCTCTCCATTGTTTTTCTCCATATCAGAGATTTCTCTCCTACAATTTAATTCCTAAAGTTTTTTTATTCTCATGAAAGCCTTGCTGCGATCAGTGGAAATTTATGAGTTAGTGTACTGCTTTTGTGCAATTTAAAGGTCAGATGAAACATGTTCATGTTTAACATTCTGTGTATGTTTGTATGTGTACATGAATACTTGTGTACACTTTCCATCTTTCACACCCAGTCCTCCCCTGGTTCCATCCCCCCTTGAAGATGCTGGATATTTTATGTAAGTGAATAGACTTTATATTTGAGAGCAATTTGAGATTTACAGGAAAACGGAACAGAAGAAACAGAGTTCTCATGTAACCGCCGCCCCCCCATCATGTGTACCTAGCACATACACACTTTCCTCCTGTTACTAATATCTTGTGGTGCATTTGCTAAAATTGATGAGCCAGTATTGATATATTTTATTAAGTAAAGTCTCTAGTTTACATTAGGTACATTCTGTGGGTTTGGACAAATGTACAGATGACGTGTGCCCACCATGACAGTGCCCCCCAGGGCTCTGCCTATTCATCCCTCCCCGCCAGCCCCTGGAAACCACTGACATTTTTACTGTCTCCATAGTTTTGCATTTTTCAGAATGTCATAGAGTTGGAATCATACAGTACGTAGCCTTTTCAGATTGGCTTCTTTCACTTGGGAAAGTGCACTTAAGGCTCCTCCATGTCTTCTCGTGGCTCATTTGGTCTGGGCTCTGAATAATATTCCAGTATCTGGATGTACCACAGTTTGTCCATCACCCACTGATGGTTATCCTGATTGTTTCTGAGTTTTGGCCATTATGAAGGAAACTACTATAAACACCTATGTGCAGGTTTTTGTGTGGACATAAATTTTCATTTTATTTGGGTAAATGCTAGGGAACAAGATGGCTAGATCTTAAGATACTGTATTTAAGAAGAGGAAACTAATCAGAGATACTTAACGCCTTCCCCACACTTACAAACTGTGTGTCTTTACCAGAGATGACTACCACGAGGACGGGTTCTGCCAGCCGTACCGGGGCATCGCCTGTGCGCGCTTCATTGGGAATCGGACCATTTATGTGGACTCGCTGCAGATGCAGGGGGAGATTGAGAACCGCATCACAGGTGGGAGTGCAGGCCTTTGTTGTGAGACTGTGAGTGCTGGCGCAGCCACCTGCCATAGAGTAGGCGTCCACCTGTGTGTGTCCTGTACTACCTCAGACAATATGGCCCTGTTCCAGGTGTTTTGCAATAGAAAGTCAGAGACCTTTGGTACAAGCAGTTGCAGTTGATCACAGATTACCCTAAAATGCTGCCATATGCATGCTCAAGTTAGCAGATGCAGATGACATGGACCATACTTCTAACATACTTAAGCAGGCCAACCGTGTGGGTCCGGAGCCCTGAGCTGCCTTGACCTCACTATATCACCAGGGCCTCTGTCCAAGGGTGACCACACTGCAGGCAGGCTGGCCCACCACCCCCTCCACTTCACTTCCTTGTCCTGCCTTCCTGACTCTCGCACCCTTTCAGAGTTGCTCTTGTTGAAAAGTTCTCGGGACTGACTTGAGCTGTTTGGTAGAGAGGTTTGCAGGCTGTTGGCCGTGCAGGAGGGTGCTGCGGCAAACTCAGAGCCGAGGGAGCCCCAGCTTCCAGGCAACAGTCAGGCCATCAGCTTCCTGCTTCACGGTGTGAGATCATTTAGGAAAGAGGATGCTCGCCTCCATTTCTTAGGAGTCACCGTCTCTGGTTGGTTGTCAGCCCTCAACACACCCACTTTTACACGTTGATGTAAAGGTCTTCTTGGGGGAATTCTTTGAGAAGTGAGACAGTGAGTTAGACCAGACGCTCTGCAAAGCCCTTCTCCTCCTGTCCCTATGCACCCCACAAACACATGCACATTTCTCTCTCCAGACTGTACAAGGAGCAAGGACAACCTTGTGAAGGGGACAGATATTGCAGGCTAACTGGGTTCTCTACACAGCAGTTCTTGACCCTGGGTGCCCACTAGACCCATCAGCCTTCCTCTGATGCTGGGCTCCCTGGGAGATGTGTATAGTTTGCAGAGAGGCTTGTAAAGTGCTGCCCTGAGAAGGGGTGAGAACGCAGATCGCAACTGGAAACTCACATAGGTATCTCTGAAATGCCCTTTGACCTCCAGGTCAACCCTGGCCTTATTTCCATCCTCAGTCTGGAGGGACTAAGGTCATGGTCATGGAAGGTTCTGGTGGGGCCTGGAAGGTGCTGTTGGTCTAATGGGAGGATGTTTTGAATACATTAGTATCTCTCATTGGAGATTTAAAGTAGAACTTCTCAAACCTTGTTAACCCTGACATGCAGTAAAAACTATGACTTAGTGTGTGCATGCATGCATGTATTTCATAGAACTGAAATGAGTTACAGAAACAGCATTCACCCTTAACAGAAGTATTGCACTTGGCCTTTTCTCTTCAGTTTTATTTCATTAAAGAAAAGAGTTGGTTACAGCCTTAATATGAACCATGCCCTCTGACATCCTCCATTTTGTTCTAATCATCTTTTAAAATGCTTGCCACAGACTCCAGAATTAATTTTGCATCCCACTAATTAGCAAATGCTGAATCAAGACACAAAAGTACCACTCAGTTATTTCTTCAGGAATTGATTAGAGGGTGAAACAACTCAGATATCCTAATAGACTGATTTTGTAGCATTTTTTAGATAAAAGTTTAAAATGAGGATTATCTAGATTTGTGGATTTTTGGAGAAATAAATTTCTCTAGACTGACTGACTTGTGATTTGGAGACTGTAGAGATGTTCTGCTTGGCAGAACTGGTTCCCTGGACTCTGGGGGCTTCCCAGGGAAGGGGGCCCAAGAGTGCTTCAGGGTGACATGTGCATGCGGACACGAGCCAGGACATGAGGACCTCCTCGGTGCCTACAATGACGTTCAGAAATAAGCCTCAGGATATGTTCCCGGGTTGTGGGGAGGAGAAATCCTAAAAGGGCCAGCCATGACATCCTGTCAGTGGGCACCCAAAAGAAATCCCGGGTTTGGCCTTCTCAGACAGTCTTTCCCTGCCTGGGCGTCCAGGCCAACACGGGAGACAGCCATCCTGGTGGCTGCCAGCTCCCCGGTGATGGGATTATGCCGGCTTCCAGCGGGGTTCTTCGACCAGCTTCCGTAGTCCTTGCAGCCTAACCGCTGTTCCTCAACTTTGATATTGGCCAGAGGGGACCAAGAGGACGAGGACGATGTGACGGGCGCACTGCAGTGCCTCGGACATAAGCCTGCTACCAGACTCCGGGGGCCATTCGCCTCACTGCCTCTTTATAGGCTCCATGTGGGCCTTCATCCCCAAGGTGCCATCTCAAGAATCACTCTGGATGGATAAAGACACAGGTCTAGAAGGGACTGAGTGTCCACCTACCCTGCAGTGACTGCGGGGCTCAGGGCCAGCTCATCCGGAGGAGCTGCCCTGGGGTCGCTCAGGCAGTGAGCACTTGCAGCGCCACCTGCTGGCCGCGCCAAGAGCGGCACTCCAAGGCATGGATGCAGCTGGGTTCCCAGACTAATTCCAGCCTCTCCCGTTTTTCGCCGGGTCTCATAGGCTGTAGGCCAAGGGGCTTCCCTTTCTTTAGCTGCCCCACATCAGATCGTGGTAAACCGGCTGTGGAGGGGAGGGGAGGAGCACCTTTCCACCTGCCACAGGCCAAGCGGCTTCCCTCACCCACCCAGACCAGGCCCCGCAGCCCCACCCCTTCCTCTCACTGTTCTCCCCCCCAACCCTCCCCTGTGCACCCCGCCCCCTGCCACTCCTTCGTCATTCTGCTTCTCAGGGGTATGTCGCGGGTGCTGGTCGTCCATCTGCCGGCACACACTATTCCTCTGCTGGGGGCGCCCCCGCCTTCTCTCCGGAGGCCCCCAGGCTGCTGCAGGAAGACCAAGGCTGGTCCTCCTCCAGTCTCCGCTTCTAGAGGCTGCCCTGTGATGGCGGGGCCCCCAGTTCAGGACAGGGCTTTAGGAAGTGGCTTTTGGGTCTGAAATAAGAATCCTCCTGTCACGGAAGTCTTGCAGATGAGTTTTAGTGCTTGTATTTCCCTCTTTGTTTTTACCCTTTGATGTTTCTAAGTGAAGCCCTGGGACCAGGGACATCCTGGGTGTGGTGCGGCTCACGAGCTCCCTGGGGCCCTCCTCTGTGAGTGCCTCTCCCAGGTCTGCACAGGGTGGGGGCTAGGGCGCCGGGAGAGAGATGCGGCCCCCCACCTGACGCGGTGTGCCCCCGCAGCGGCCTTCACCATGATCGGCACGTCCACGCACCTGTCGGACCAGTGCTCACAGTTCGCCATCCCGTCCTTCTGCCACTTCGTGTTCCCGCTGTGCGATGCGCGCTCCCGCGCGCCGAAGCCTCGCGAACTGTGCCGCGACGAGTGCGAGGTGCTGGAGAGCGACCTGTGCCGCCAGGAGTACACCATTGCGCGCTCCAACCCACTCATCCTCATGCGCCTGCAGCTGCCCAAGTGCGAGGCGCTGCCCATGCCCGAGAGCCCGGACGCGGCCAACTGCATGCGCGTCGGCATCCCGGCGGAGAGGCTGGGCCGCTGTGAGTCCCCGCGCTGATGGGTCCACGGCCTGGCCCTTACACCGGGCCACCATGGGGGGACGGGGCCCATGAGGAGCAGGGGTTTGGGGGCATTGGCCCCAGGCTTGCACCCCAGTGGGGCCCTCCTTTCTTGGGTATTCGGGTAAGTCATTCTGCCCACCGGGAGCCTGGGCTAGACAGGGGCACTCTCAGTGCCTGGTGGCTGTGGCTCTCAGGAGCAGCAGAGGAGGGAGGGTTGGCTTCCAAACCCGGGAGCACTGCTCATCACTGATTGCCTCAGGGTTGCCCCTTCCTCCAGTGGGGACCCAGAAAGGAGGCTGCGTTTACTTCCTCAGGGAGGCTGGGGCTCCCCGAGTGTGGCCAGGCACCTTGCATATGTGAGGTCTCAGCTGCAGGACTCACTCTGTATGATCTGGGACAAGTTGTTTACATACCGATTCCTTGTATTATGTGGGGTAATAGCTACTAACCCTCGGGAGCTGGAAGAAAGATTGAATGAGTTGATATTTAGAAGTTCTGAACAGTGCCTGCAGCCGCTAAGCACCCCTAGAAGTGATGTTATTCAACAAACACCCCCTGCCCCAGGCTGGCTAGAGAGTGCTGTGTCCTCTGGGGCATGGGTGATGCTTTGGCTCTGCTCACACGCAGGTGGACCTCCCTGGGTGGCAGAGGGGGCATCTGGGAGGTTCATCTCCCCCCAGCACAGTTCAGTTTAACTTCTGGGGCAACTGAACAGGAGATTGGGTTGACATTCTCATTCAGGATGGGGTGATGGGTCCCAGAGGTGGATTCGGGGCCATAGAGTAGCTTCCAAAGTGTCTTCTTCCCTTTAGATGATGGCCCCAAATGTAATTTGTGCACTTGGGAATTTACTTAGAGCTGTTACTTTCAATGGTGCTTCTCTTGGGAGTGATGTAAAACTCTGGGGTCCTTCGGAAGCTCCACTGTGGGCCCACAGGTGAAGTGGTCCTTTTGTTCTCTTCTGGAGCAGCTGAAGAAGGCTATCTCTTCACCCCCAAAGGAGAGGGCTTTCTCTTCTTTTGTGGGCCCCTTAACACATCCTCTCCTGCAGACCATCAGTGCTACAATGGCTCCGGCACGGAGTACAGAGGGACGGTGAGCACCACCATGTCGGGGCACCAGTGCCAGCCGTGGGCACTGCAGCACCCCCACAGCCACCAGCTGAGCAGCGCAGACTTCCCCGAGCTTGGAGGGGGGCACGCCTACTGCAGGAACCCTGGCGGGCAGATGGAAGGGCCCTGGTGCTTCACACAGAATAAAAACGTACGCATGGAACTGTGTGACGTGCCCTCCTGTAGTATGTATTCCCTCTCTCTCTTTTTTAAAATGTGTTGACTGTTGAGTGCTCTGTGTGGTGATGTGAGAAGGAGGCTGTGGGCACCTCCCCTGTGGCACCTCCATGGACTTTGTGGTGGTTATAAAGGTAATATCTGGTCATTATAGGACATTTCGAACTATTGCAAAGCCTGAAGAATAATGTACAAACTAGCCCTCATTTCCTCACCCTGTGAGACTGCTTTCACATCGGAAGCCTTCTGTCAGCCCCCGTGTGTGGTCCTGGGATATTCAGTTTGGCATCTGGTTTCTCCATTAACATCTCCACACAGTATTTTCTGACATCAGTAAAAATGCCTGTTGCAGTTAGAGCCAGCCCCGTAGCCCGTCCGGAGGTGGTGGCATGGTACCCCTCCCCTCCCCCCCTCCTCCCCATTTAGCTCCCGCACAGAGACTTGGCAGAGTGAGGAAGAAACAGATCTTAAATCTCTGAACAAGTTCTCCTGCAGTTTCTCTGTTAAATTATAAATAGTAGAAGAGTGTCATTAGTAGTTGCAAACTTTACAAAGATTACTATCTTTATTTCACTCATTTTAGTCACTTTACCAGCTCCCATTGGCCTCAATGCCTGAGATTCAGTTGCTCTCTAGGTCTTACATTTTGGAACCTGGAGGGAGATGGTTGGCATTAAATTACTGTGAGCAGATGCATAAAGAGATGAACAGGTGAAGGAAAGCCAGGCTCACATTCACCTGGAAACCTAGCGGCCTGGGGCCCGGCATGCCTCCACCCTGCCCTTGAAGGAAGTGAAAAGCGGTATTCATTACCGCTTGTGGTGTAACTTGGCCATTCCAAATTTGGCACTCCCTTTAATTCAGCAGGTCACATACAAATCCTCAAGATTGTGTGTCCATTGCAGAAATAAGAATGAAAATGTCAGAAGTGAGATGATAGTATAGCTACTCTATTGAATGCTACAGTTGTTTAAAAAAATTTCCCGTGAGGAAGGAGGCTCATGATGTCCTGTTAAGGCAAAGAAGCGAGCTGCAGGCAAGAGCTGGTTTCTGTCTGCTTGCTGCTCCTTCTTCCCCCGCCCCTCCTTCCCTGCCCTTCCCTTTCCCTCTTTCTTTGTAAAAGAAACAAAAGGAGTAAAAATTCTGTCGTGTGTGCGTGTGCACACATAGAGACCCCTATTTCATGAAGTTCTGCAAAGACACATACCAAACTTTTAGCAGCAATTTCCCAAGACCTTACAGAAATGTTAAAATATAAGGCATTTTTACGATGAGCAGTTATTGCTTCTGTAATTAAAATAAAACATAAAAGCACATATGTTCTTTGACCTGGAAATTCCAGGAATCTGATATGGCAGAAATATTTGCACTTACAGCGCAGAAATGCAAAGATACTTATTTCAGAATCACTTTTACTAGCTAAAGAAGAAATAGACTGGTTGTTTACAGTAGAGGCTTGGGTGATAATGACAGTACATCCATCCACAGAATAGTGTGCTGCTTGAAGAATGCCCAGAGCTATCTGTCTTTGTTAACTGTGTTGATGTCTAGCTACATACCTGTTTGTATATAATAAACGTATTACACACACACACAATTCTGCCCCAAAACTGGGGCAGGAAGTGTGGATGATAGGAATCTATCTAAAAATGAATTCTATTTAAAAGTTGACCTTGAAAACCTATATGAAGCTGCTGCTTCTGTATGTCAGAATAGTTGGGTGTCAGTGGTTTCATGTTTAACTTAAAATACACAGAAAACTTTAGGTGCACACCAGGCTATTGACTGGTGTAGGCTTTGGTGAAATAGGTTATTAGGAATTACTCCCTTTTCTGTAATACTACAATTATTAATAAGCATGTTCTGTTGGTGATTTCAAGAAAAAAATGATAAAATAAATGGTTGCACAGATATTTGAATGGTGTTCACATCTCTGATCCTGGCCTGAGGGTCGCAGACTCTCCTCCGGCCTCCATAATGAGAGTGACCCAGGGTGGCTTCCAGAACACCTGCCTCTGGAGTGGGACCAGGGCAGTTTTGTGTGTGGCTTTATTTGAGTCTATCTTATTTTAGAGGCAGCTGGGAAAGACAATGCTTTCTCACTTAGGTGCTCATAGTGTTCATTTTTAGAACTGAGTGAGCTCTTTCAATGGACACGTTGACCAGAAGTCATAGGACATCCGGTCTCTTGCAGTCGTTCACCCGGTTAAGGAGAAAACTGCCAGGAGGAGAGGAGGTGGCATCTGGAGAGCTCAGTGTTCCACCAGCTGGAAGCTCCCGGCACTGCATATGCCGGCGCCTGGGGCGGCGGGGCCTGGGGCCACTACAGCCCCTGCGCGTGCCCGTTGCAGCCTGCCGCTCGTGCCTGCCTCCTTTCTGCAAGTCCTGTAGAGGGAGACAGAGCACTGCGCTTGGCTGGCAGAAAGGACAGCCACAGGAATCCTCAGACCCTTTATACATCTCACTGTCGCTTTTCAAGAATTCTTGTGCCCTGTTGAAGCATATTATATTGGGTCAAACCCACTGGCTACCAGGGCTCTTTTAAATCAAATGCATTTTGATTATCTTAAAATAGTATGGGTTCCCAACACAAAATGGGGAAAGTCCTAAAATATTGAATGAAAGAAAGGATCGTTTTCATTCCAGTCCTGGGTTTCCTTGCCCGAGGAGGGGGTGTCAGGTACGTTCTGTCAGGGTCGGTGACGCTGAAACAGGCCGATGGAGCCTCCTGTTTGCCCCGGGTTCCGGCATCAGGAAGAAAAAGGGGCGGGGTCATCACGATGGTAAGACCTTCCAGGCGCCTTTGTTCTCTCTGCTCCGTTTGTTTCTGTGGGGGCAGTTTCAGACTGTCTCATAAACCCAAGCGGACTGTGCATTTTTTGTCACGTCACCCTTTTTGGTTTGAGGTGCAATTTTGCCCCTTACTACAACTTACCTGCTTATCCACTGGTGCTGAACTTTTTCCTTTGGAGCTGGGAGGGGGCTGCTGGAGGACTTTGAGCTGAAGAGGGGGTGTTTTCAGAATACTCACGAAGCCTTGCTGTTCACAGGTCCCCAGGACAGCAGCAGGATGGGGATTCTGTATATCCTGGTCCCGAGCATTGCGATTCCCCTCGTCATCGCGTGCCTTTTCTTCCTGGTCTGCATGTGCCGGAATAAGCAGAAGGCTTCTGCCTCCACGCCACAGCGCCGGCAGCTGATGGCCTCGCCCAGCCAGGACGTGGAGATGCCGCTCATCAGCCAGCATAAGCAGGTTGGCGCGCTCCCCTGCCTGGGTGGCAGCACCACTCCCGGCGGAGTGAAACCTGTGGCTTTGGGTCTTTTAATTTACCCGATACACACAGTTCTTTTCAAGTGCCCTCCATTTTGCCATTTCTTTCTCCAAATCACGTCAGCACTCCTGTGTCCTTTGGAAATGAATGGTGGGCATGTTGAGGATCCACGTCCTGCAGGCCCTGGGTTCCTCTGCCTAGACTGCTGCTCTTGGCCTGGGCAGAGGGCATGTCCTGGCTCTGCAGCGCCTCGGCTCTCCTGACGGGACACAGGCAGAGGGCTCAGATCACCCCGCCACCCGAGGCCTATCTCCCTTTGAGGGGTGTGGGCCCTGATTGGTCAGTTTGCGGCTGGCTTGGCTTGGCTTGGCTTTATTACTATTTTGGGAAAGGACAGGGTGACAGTCTTGTAGCAACAGGTGTCCCTTGCCCACCCCTCCATGCCCCAAGAATTCTTAGGATGTGAGAACACACTGAAATCCAGCACAGGAGAAAGCCTGTCACGGCCCGCCTGGTCTCTGTGAAGGGACCTTTGCAAGCTTTGGAGGAAAAATGACTGTGGTCTGGGCTTTGAAGGGGATCTTCACTGTGGTCAGGGGGAGAGTGGGCTTGTGCAGCTCTGTAGCCAGGAGTGTCTCTGGGTGTTTGCCGGGGTGCAGGGCCGGTGAGGAGTGGTGCAGGCTGGACAGCAAAGAGACATGGAGTCCCCTGTGGCCAGGATGGGGGAGCCAGATGCACAGAAAGGGTCACAGGTCATAGAGGCCAAGAGACACAGGGTTCCAGAGAAACACAAAGGGTCTCGCTGTGATGAGCAGTGGTGGCTGGACCCCCATGTGTAGGCACATGTTGGAGAGCAGCAAAGGCCTGGGATGGGGGACATAGCTGGGAGAGAGCAGGCATGATTCTGGGACAGCTGGAGCCCAGCGTGGCTGTGCTGTGTAAGAATAGGTACCCATGCTCTGCAGCAGTCTCCTGGCTGATTTGGAGTATATAGTGTGTAGCCTGGTTGGGACCCGCTGAAGTTGCAGTACCCTCATGGAATGAGTGTGTCTGAGAGCAGAGGGCAGTGTGCGCACAGGCTGAGCCTGGGACATCCAGGACCACCCTGTCCTCTGCAAGGTGGGGGCACTGGGACTGCCCCGGAGCCCCCCACCCCCAGTGGCCGTGCTCCCCTCTCCTGTCGTGGGGTAAAAATATCTCATTGGGGCTTCTTTTCTTGGTAGGCCAAACTCAAGGAGATCAGCCTGTCCACAGTGAGGTTCATGGAGGAGCTTGGGGAGGACCGGTTCGGGAAAGTCTACAAAGGCCATCTGTTTGGGCCGGCGCCCAGTGAGCAGACTCAGGCCGTGGCCATCAAAACGCTGAAGGACAAGGCGGAAGGGTCGCTCCGTGAGGAGTTCCGGCATGAGGCCATCCTGCGGGCTCGGCTGCAGCACCCGAACATAGTGTGTCTGCTGGGCATGGTCACCAAGGACCAGCCCCTCAGCATGATCTTCAGCTACTGCTCACACGGCGACCTGCACGAGTTCTTGGTAATGCGCTCACCCCACTCGGATGTGGGCAGCACAGACGACGACCGCACTGTGAAGTCTGCCCTGGAGCCCCCCGACTTTGTGCATGTGGTGGCACAAATAGCTTCGGGCATGGAGTACCTGTCCAGCCACCACGTGGTCCACAAGGACCTGGCCACCCGCAACGTGCTCGTGTATGACAAGCTGACTGTGAAGATCTCAGACCTGGGGCTGTTCCGGGAGGTGTACTCGGCCGACTACTACAAACTGATGGGGAGTACACTGCTGCCCATCCGCTGGATGTCCCCCGAGGCCATCATGTACGGCAAGTTCTCTGTGGACTCGGACATCTGGTCCTATGGCGTGGTCCTGTGGGAGGTCTTCAGCTATGGCCTGCAGCCCTACTGCGGGCACTCCAACCAGGATGTGGTGGAGCTGGTGCGCAGCCGGCAGGTGCTGCCCTGCCCCGACGACTGCCCTGCCTGGGTGTATGCCCTGATGATTGAGTGCTGGAACGAGTTCCCCAGCCGGCGGCCCCGCTTCAAGGACATCCACAGCCGGCTCCGGGCCTGGGGCAACCTGTCCACATACAACAGCTCTGCGCAGACCTCGGGGGCCAGCAACGCCACTCAGACCAGCTCCCTGAGCACCAGCCCAGTCAGCAACGTCAGCAACGCCCGCTACGGGGGCCCCAAGCAGAAGGCCCAGGCCTTTCCGCAGCCACAGTTCTTGCCCATAAAGGGCCAGATCAGACCCCTGGTGCCTCCTCCCCAGCTCTACATACCTGTCAACGGCTACCAGCCAGTGCCGGCCTACGGGGCCTACCTGCCCAACTTCTACCCAGTCCAGATCCCGGTGCAGATGGCCCCGCAGCAGGTGCCGGCCCAGATGGTGCCCAAGCCCGGCTCCCACCACAGCGGCAGTGGCTCCACCAGCACCGGATATGTCACCACTGCGCCCTCCAACACGTCTGTGGCGGACAGGGCGGCCCTGCTCTCAGAAGACATTGAAGACGCGCAGAACACCCCAGAAGACACAGCCCAGAGCCCCGGGCAGGAAGCCGAGGAGGAGGATGGTTCCGTCCCGGAGACAGAGCTGCTGGGGGACAATGAAACTCTGCAGGTGGACGAGGCCGAGGTCCAGCTGGAAGCCTGAGGGACAAGGGTGTGCGTGGGGTGCTTGGGGGAAAGATTGAGCCCCAGGGGTGCCTGGCAGGTGGGGTTGGTGGCCCAGGAGGACACGTGGTGACTGGCGCCGCCTGCATTTATTTCCTTGGAGGTCGATGGGTGCCAAGCAGGGCCTGTGCTTTGGCTGGGAAAGCAGATGGCATCTTCCCTCCATCTGCACGTGGATCATATATGGAGAAACTTTGGGGAAATAGGCCTCCCAAGGCGGGAAGGCGGGACCTTGGCTTTGACACTCCCAGCGGCTGCTGTTCCCTCTGCTGCCCCCTGCCAGCAATAGTCTCCCTTCAACTACCAAAGGTCAGCGGGAACAGGACATGGCTGCCTGCCACCTGCCAGGGTCCCATCCAAAAGGGGCTTCTGAAATGGGAGTTCTGTGCTAAAACAAAATGTGCCTTAAAAGAAACTGATGTAGTTTCGTATTTTTGTGAAATGATTTCAGTTATCCTGTATGTGTATTTTGCCCACTTTTCCAGAATTCAAGGAAAAGTGTTTCTTGGCATGGAATGTCACAAAGGAAGCCATGTTGTATAAAGCACAGTATTGTTACTTTGTTAGAATCATGTACAGACTGTAAGTGTAATTTATATGGTTTCTGTGTGCCATTTTCACTGAAGTATTTTGAGCTTTAAAAAATGACCTAGTAATTTAACTTTTTGTGCCGCCCACTTTGGGGTGCCATCTGATTGTATGTTGGTCTTCTTGTGTCTGAACCACATGTCAGCGAGGTCCCTGCATTTCACAGCCTATGGGAGCAGGTCTGCAGGTGCTGCCAGCCTGCGGGGTGGGGCTCCCTTGTCGCTCCCAGGCCTTAGGGCTCACCTGTAGCTCCCATACCTTAGGGCTTACCTGTAGCTCCCATACCTGGCACATCCAGTACAGCAAAACAGAACAATTGGTTTGCCCTCTGTAGACTGTGGGGGTATTAGGCCACTTTGGAAGGTGCTGCATGACAGAGACCATGGGTTTGGGGTGGGCGCTCACTAGCGATTGCATTTGAGTGAATATATGTGGCCAGGTAAATGTCCCAGGGCCCCTGACATTTTTAGACCTGGAGCCTGGAACTTCTGAGGGCCCTGGGATTGGGTCGGGGGTGGGTGGGGCCACCTGTTCCTCTGCCCCTTTAGCCCAGCGGCCGGCCAAGCCAGCATCACTCAGGAGCAGTGGCCCCGGGACTTGTGGTCAGGGGAGGGGCTCAGCACACAGCTGCAACCTGGTGAGACCTGGAGGAGCTTCTGCCCACCAGCAGGCATCCCCTGGGCCTTGCCCTTGGCCTTGGATGGCCTGGGAGAGTTTCTGTTTATTGGGGTGGCACACAAATTCTATTTAAAAGTTGACCTTGAAAACCTATATGAAGCTGCTGCTTCTGTATGTCAGAATAGTTGGGTGTCAGTGGTTTCATGTTTAACTTAAAATACACAGAAAACTTTAGGTGCACACCAGGCTATTGACTGGTGTAGGCTTTGGTGAAATAGGTTATTAGGAATTACTCCCTTTTCTGTAATACTACAATTATTAATAAGCATGTTCTGTTGGTGATTTCAAGAAAAAAATGATAAAATAAATGGTTGCACAGATATTTGAATGGTGTTCACATCTCTGATCCTGGCCTGAGGGTCGCAGACTCTCCTCCGGCCTCCATAATGAGAGTGACCCAGGGTGGCTTCCAGAACACCTGCCTCTGGAGTGGGACCAGGGCAGTTTTGTGTGTGGCTTTATTTGAGTCTATCTTATTTTAGAGGCAGCTGGGAAAGACAATGCTTTCTCACTTAGGTGCTCATAGTGTTCATTTTTAGAACTGAGTGAGCTCTTTCAATGGACACGTTGACCAGAAGTCATAGGACATCCGGTCTCTTGCAGTCGTTCACCCGGTTAAGGAGAAAACTGCCAGGAGGAGAGGAGGTGGCATCTGGAGAGCTCAGTGTTCCACCAGCTGGAAGCTCCCGGCACTGCATATGCCGGCGCCTGGGGCGGCGGGGCCTGGGGCCACTACAGCCCCTGCGCGTGCCCGTTGCAGCCTGCCGCTCGTGCCTGCCTCCTTTCTGCAAGTCCTGTAGAGGGAGACAGAGCACTGCGCTTGGCTGGCAGAAAGGACAGCCACAGGAATCCTCAGACCCTTTATACATCTCACTGTCGCTTTTCAAGAATTCTTGTGCCCTGTTGAAGCATATTATATTGGGTCAAACCCACTGGCTACCAGGGCTCTTTTAAATCAAATGCATTTTGATTATCTTAAAATAGTATGGGTTCCCAACACAAAATGGGGAAAGTCCTAAAATATTGAATGAAAGAAAGGATCGTTTTCATTCCAGTCCTGGGTTTCCTTGCCCGAGGAGGGGGTGTCAGGTACGTTCTGTCAGGGTCGGTGACGCTGAAACAGGCCGATGGAGCCTCCTGTTTGCCCCGGGTTCCGGCATCAGGAAGAAAAAGGGGCGGGGTCATCACGATGGTAAGACCTTCCAGGCGCCTTTGTTCTCTCTGCTCCGTTTGTTTCTGTGGGGGCAGTTTCAGACTGTCTCATAAACCCAAGCGGACTGTGCATTTTTTGTCACGTCACCCTTTTTGGTTTGAGGTGCAATTTTGCCCCTTACTACAACTTACCTGCTTATCCACTGGTGCTGAACTTTTTCCTTTGGAGCTGGGAGGGGGCTGCTGGAGGACTTTGAGCTGAAGAGGGGGTGTTTTCAGAATACTCACGAAGCCTTGCTGTTCACAGGTCCCCAGGACAGCAGCAGGATGGGGATTCTGTATATCCTGGTCCCGAGCATTGCGATTCCCCTCGTCATCGCGTGCCTTTTCTTCCTGGTCTGCATGTGCCGGAATAAGCAGAAGGCTTCTGCCTCCACGCCACAGCGCCGGCAGCTGATGGCCTCGCCCAGCCAGGACGTGGAGATGCCGCTCATCAGCCAGCATAAGCAGGTTGGCGCGCTCCCCTGCCTGGGTGGCAGCACCACTCCCGGCGGAGTGAAACCTGTGGCTTTGGGTCTTTTAATTTACCCGATACACACAGTTCTTTTCAAGTGCCCTCCATTTTGCCATTTCTTTCTCCAAATCACGTCAGCACTCCTGTGTCCTTTGGAAATGAATGGTGGGCATGTTGAGGATCCACGTCCTGCAGGCCCTGGGTTCCTCTGCCTAGACTGCTGCTCTTGGCCTGGGCAGAGGGCATGTCCTGGCTCTGCAGCGCCTCGGCTCTCCTGACGGGACACAGGCAGAGGGCTCAGATCACCCCGCCACCCGAGGCCTATCTCCCTTTGAGGGGTGTGGGCCCTGATTGGTCAGTTTGCGGCTGGCTTGGCTTGGCTTGGCTTTATTACTATTTTGGGAAAGGACAGGGTGACAGTCTTGTAGCAACAGGTGTCCCTTGCCCACCCCTCCATGCCCCAAGAATTCTTAGGATGTGAGAACACACTGAAATCCAGCACAGGAGAAAGCCTGTCACGGCCCGCCTGGTCTCTGTGAAGGGACCTTTGCAAGCTTTGGAGGAAAAATGACTGTGGTCTGGGCTTTGAAGGGGATCTTCACTGTGGTCAGGGGGAGAGTGGGCTTGTGCAGCTCTGTAGCCAGGAGTGTCTCTGGGTGTTTGCCGGGGTGCAGGGCCGGTGAGGAGTGGTGCAGGCTGGACAGCAAAGAGACATGGAGTCCCCTGTGGCCAGGATGGGGGAGCCAGATGCACAGAAAGGGTCACAGGTCATAGAGGCCAAGAGACACAGGGTTCCAGAGAAACACAAAGGGTCTCGCTGTGATGAGCAGTGGTGGCTGGACCCCCATGTGTAGGCACATGTTGGAGAGCAGCAAAGGCCTGGGATGGGGGACATAGCTGGGAGAGAGCAGGCATGATTCTGGGACAGCTGGAGCCCAGCGTGGCTGTGCTGTGTAAGAATAGGTACCCATGCTCTGCAGCAGTCTCCTGGCTGATTTGGAGTATATAGTGTGTAGCCTGGTTGGGACCCGCTGAAGTTGCAGTACCCTCATGGAATGAGTGTGTCTGAGAGCAGAGGGCAGTGTGCGCACAGGCTGAGCCTGGGACATCCAGGACCACCCTGTCCTCTGCAAGGTGGGGGCACTGGGACTGCCCCGGAGCCCCCCACCCCCAGTGGCCGTGCTCCCCTCTCCTGTCGTGGGGTAAAAATATCTCATTGGGGCTTCTTTTCTTGGTAGGCCAAACTCAAGGAGATCAGCCTGTCCACAGTGAGGTTCATGGAGGAGCTTGGGGAGGACCGGTTCGGGAAAGTCTACAAAGGCCATCTGTTTGGGCCGGCGCCCAGTGAGCAGACTCAGGCCGTGGCCATCAAAACGCTGAAGGACAAGGCGGAAGGGTCGCTCCGTGAGGAGTTCCGGCATGAGGCCATCCTGCGGGCTCGGCTGCAGCACCCGAACATAGTGTGTCTGCTGGGCATGGTCACCAAGGACCAGCCCCTCAGCATGATCTTCAGCTACTGCTCACACGGCGACCTGCACGAGTTCTTGGTAATGCGCTCACCCCACTCGGATGTGGGCAGCACAGACGACGACCGCACTGTGAAGTCTGCCCTGGAGCCCCCCGACTTTGTGCATGTGGTGGCACAAATAGCTTCGGGCATGGAGTACCTGTCCAGCCACCACGTGGTCCACAAGGACCTGGCCACCCGCAACGTGCTCGTGTATGACAAGCTGACTGTGAAGATCTCAGACCTGGGGCTGTTCCGGGAGGTGTACTCGGCCGACTACTACAAACTGATGGGGAGTACACTGCTGCCCATCCGCTGGATGTCCCCCGAGGCCATCATGTACGGCAAGTTCTCTGTGGACTCGGACATCTGGTCCTATGGCGTGGTCCTGTGGGAGGTCTTCAGCTATGGCCTGCAGCCCTACTGCGGGCACTCCAACCAGGATGTGGTGGAGCTGGTGCGCAGCCGGCAGGTGCTGCCCTGCCCCGACGACTGCCCTGCCTGGGTGTATGCCCTGATGATTGAGTGCTGGAACGAGTTCCCCAGCCGGCGGCCCCGCTTCAAGGACATCCACAGCCGGCTCCGGGCCTGGGGCAACCTGTCCACATACAACAGCTCTGCGCAGACCTCGGGGGCCAGCAACGCCACTCAGACCAGCTCCCTGAGCACCAGCCCAGTCAGCAACGTCAGCAACGCCCGCTACGGGGGCCCCAAGCAGAAGGCCCAGGCCTTTCCGCAGCCACAGTTCTTGCCCATAAAGGGCCAGATCAGACCCCTGGTGCCTCCTCCCCAGCTCTACATACCTGTCAACGGCTACCAGCCAGTGCCGGCCTACGGGGCCTACCTGCCCAACTTCTACCCAGTCCAGATCCCGGTGCAGATGGCCCCGCAGCAGGTGCCGGCCCAGATGGTGCCCAAGCCCGGCTCCCACCACAGCGGCAGTGGCTCCACCAGCACCGGATATGTCACCACTGCGCCCTCCAACACGTCTGTGGCGGACAGGGCGGCCCTGCTCTCAGAAGACATTGAAGACGTGCAGAACACCCCAGAAGACACAGCCCAGAGCCCCGGGCAGGAAGCCGAGGAGGAGGATGGTTCCGTCCCGGAGACAGAGCTGCTGGGGGACAATGAAACTCTGCAGGTGGACGAGGCCGAGGTCCAGCTGGAAGCCTGAGGGACAAGGGTGTGCGTGGGGTGCTTGGGGGAAAGATTGAGCCCCAGGGGTGCCTGGCAGGTGGGGTTGGTGGCCCAGGAGGACACGTGGTGACTGGCGCCGCCTGCATTTATTTCCTTGGAGGTCGATGGGTGCCAAGCAGGGCCTGTGCTTTGGCTGGGAAAGCAGATGGCATCTTCCCTCCATCTGCACGTGGATCATATATGGAGAAACTTTGGGGAAATAGGCCTCCCAAGGCGGGAAGGCGGGACCTTGGCTTTGACACTCCCAGCGGCTGCTGTTCCCTCTGCTGCCCCCTGCCAGCAATAGTCTCCCTTCAACTACCAAAGGTCAGCGGGAACAGGACATGGCTGCCTGCCACCTGCCAGGGTCCCATCCAAAAGGGGCTTCTGAAATGGGAGTTCTGTGCTAAAACAAAATGTGCCTTAAAAGAAACTGATGTAGTTTCGTATTTTTGTGAAATGATTTCAGTTATCCTGTATGTGTATTTTGCCCACTTTTCCAGAATTCAAGGAAAAGTGTTTCTTGGCATGGAATGTCACAAAGGAAGCCATGTTGTATAAAGCACAGTATTGTTACTTTGTTAGAATCATGTACAGACTGTAAGTGTAATTTATATGGTTTCTGTGTGCCATTTTCACTGAAGTATTTTGAGCTTTAAAAAATGACCTAGTAATTTAACTTTTTGTGCCGCCCACTTTGGGGTGCCATCTGATTGTATGTTGGTCTTCTTGTGTCTGAACCACATGTCAGCGAGGTCCCTGCATTTCACAGCCTATGGGAGCAGGTCTGCAGGTGCTGCCAGCCTGCGGGGTGGGGCTCCCTTGTCGCTCCCAGGCCTTAGGGCTCACCTGTAGCTCCCATACCTTAGGGCTTACCTGTAGCTCCCATACCTGGCACATCCAGTACAGCAAAACAGAACAATTGGTTTGCCCTCTGTAGACTGTGGGGGTATTAGGCCACTTTGGAAGGTGCTGCATGACAGAGACCATGGGTTTGGGGTGGGCGCTCACTAGCGATTGCATTTGAGTGAATATATGTGGCCAGGTAAATGTCCCAGGGCCCCTGACATTTTTAGACCTGGAGCCTGGAACTTCTGAGGGCCCTGGGATTGGGTCGGGGGTGGGTGGGGCCACCTGTTCCTCTGCCCCTTTAGCCCAGCGGCCGGCCAAGCCAGCATCACTCAGGAGCAGTGGCCCCGGGACTTGTGGTCAGGGGAGGGGCTCAGCACACAGCTGCAACCTGGTGAGACCTGGAGGAGCTTCTGCCCACCAGCAGGCATCCCCTGGGCCTTGCCCTTGGCCTTGGATGGCCTGGGAGAGTTTCTGTTTATTGGGGTGGCACACCCCCTAGGGAGAGCCAGGACTCGGCTGGGAATTTGCTGCCCCTATGTGGACAGGGGCCCCTTGCTGCATCAGAAGCTCATGCAGGCCTTTTTTACAAAAGAGGCACTGCCCTCCCTGCTCCCAGGTGGTCCAAGTGGGTCCGGGAATGTTCATTTCTAACAAGTGACCTGAAGATGCTGATGTGCCCTCAGGGCCCACTGAGAGCCTCAAAGCCCAGCTCCGGTGACCCTGGCTGGCCAGCACGTCGGGCCACCCTGACCTTGAGGTCCATCCTGCCCACCCCTTGCCCTATTGCCTGGCTGTGATGGTGCTCATGGATGGAGCCACACACATCAGTAAAGAAAGAAAATGTCCGAGTTGCTTACCCTGCGGTGAGGGTGGGTTCTCCGCGGGGGGCAGAGGAGGAACGGGACTGGGGTTAAGGACCGGGAGCCCTGAAGAGCCCCTCTCCTGGCAAGTGTGGGCTGAATTGCATATTCAAAGAACTCAGGGTTAAATGGAGCTACTTCTCATTTCCACTTATCTGAAAGAGGAACTTAACGTTATCTCTAATTTGGTACACCTGGTGGTTAGCTGTTCGTTGAGACCTGAGAGTAAAAAATGGGAAATAGTGATTTGGCTGCTCTGTCCGCGGCAGAGTCGGCAGTGAGCCGCCCCTGCAGTTTACCGTCACCGAATCCCCAGACAAGAACACAACGTCCCAAGCCACTGACGGCCCCACAGAGCGAACCGGGGAGATTCTGCAGAAAGACATTTGGAGGGTTTTTTGGGGGAGTGGGGGAGGTTTTGATTTGGGGAACTTTTTTTTTGGCCAAATATAGCGTCTCCTTGTTACAGCTTATTCTAATTGTAAAAATCTCAGTTCATCTTTAGAAAGATATATTGAGCTTTTAAGCCTGCGCTGTTGAACAGAAATGACTTAGTTGGGATGTTCCAGAACAACGGGACTTGGGGTAAAGTTGCATGACTCAGGTAAATGTCACTCATACTGTCCACCCAACAGCAACCTGTCCTCGGTCATCCCAGGAGGGAGATTGCCACAGCTACTGAGCAACTCACGGAAGTGCAATTACTTTTTAATCAAGCCCCGTGAAGCCACGAATGCCTTTTGCACTCCTTATATTTCTTGATAAATGATCCTTGCTGAAACAATCTGTCAAGAGCAGCGGCTGATTTTTCTGTGCTAATTTTAGGGTGTCTGACTAACTGCTACGGTGTAAAACAGCTTCCCACTAAATCAAGAAAAGCTCTTGCTGCTTTCAACAGGGAAACACGGTGTAAATGTGCTCCCTTTAGACTTAGTTCCACCTTGCAGCTTGCTGTTGATAGTTATTTTCAGACACTGATTTTACAACTATGTTTGGGATGAATCATACACAGATGTTGGTTCTGTGTGAGATTCTTATGGGAACTTTTTAAAGTGTTTCTGAGATGAATTTTTAAGAAGGTTGTGTCAAGGTAGACTGAAGTCAGGGTGCTATTTGGAAACCTTGCCAGCATGAGGAAGGGTGACCTTTCCAAGGTCTGACCTGTTCCCACCTCACCCATTTTCCCCTCATTGGTCCCTTAAGTTGAAGAAACTCTTAAGTATTTCTTGGCCTGGGAATTAGTGAACATTCAGTAATTGGCTCTTGAAATGAGAATAATGGTTTATTTAGGTAGAGAAAGCCCAGATTTAGGCAACGGACACCGGCAAGAGAAGGCCTTGCATCCCACGGTGGGCATGCACCCCAGAGGAGGGCACAGTGATAGCCCACACTGCCCAGTCTCGTTTACCCCACAGGCACAGGTCCAATGGGTTGTGGTTCTCCCGGGCCACTTGTTTACAAACTGAAGGTCTGTGGCAACCCACTGTTGAGCAAGTCTGTCGGCACCGTTTTTCCAACAGTGTCTCCTCACTTTGTGTCTCTGTGTTACAGGTAGTAATTCTCCCAATATCTTAAACTTTTCATCATTATTATGTTTGTGATGTGATCTCCGATCAGTAGTTACAGCTCACTGAGAGCCCAGATGATGGTTGGCTTTTTTTTAGCAATAAAGATTTTTAAAATTAAGTCATGTACATTGTTTTTCTACACACTGTGCTATTGCACATTTATGTACACATAACATTAATATGCCCTGGGAAACAAGAAATGCATTTGACTGACTTGACAGCAATACTCCTATCTCTGTGGTGTGCCTGAGTGTAATTAGTGAGCAGCTGATTACAATGGGAAGCCCCTTCGCAGGCCCTGTGCACCCTTCTTCCCTCCACCCGCCTCCAAGTGAAGTGTTACTGACTCCTCGTGGCTCTTTCTGGTGTTTATGTATATATAAGTAAACACCTGTATCTTTTTTTTTTGTATTATTATTTTTTATTTTGGTATCATTAATCTACAGTTACATGAAGGACATGTTTACTAGGGTCCCCCCTTCACCAAGTCCCCCCAACAAACCCCATTACAGTCACTGTCCATCAGCGTAGTAAGATGCTGTAGAATCACTACTTGTCTTCTCTGTGTTGCACAGCCCTCCCCGTGCCCCCCCACATTATACATGCTAATCGTAATGCCCCCTTTCTTCTTCCCCACCCTTATCCATCCCCATCAGCACAGCAAGACCCTATAGAGTCATTACCTGTCTTCTCTGCATACACTGCCTTTCCTGTGTACCTGCCCGCTACATTATGTGTGCTAATTGTAATGCCTCTTTTTCCCCCTTATCCCTCCCTTCCCACCCTCCCCAGTCCCGTTCCCTTTGGTAACTGTTAGTCCATTCTTGGATTCTGTGAGTCTGCTGCTGTTTTGTTCCTTCAGTTTTTGCTTTGTTCTTATACTCCACATATGAGTGAAATCATTTGATACTTGTGTTTCTCCACCTGGCTTATTTCACTGAGCATAATACCCTCTAGCTCCATCCATGTTGTTGCAAATGGTGGGATTTATTTTCTTCTTATGACTGAATAATATTCCATTGTGTATATGTACCACATCTTCTTTATCCATTCATCTACTGATGGACACTTAGGTTGCTTCCTTTTCTTGGCTATTGTAAATAGTGCTGTGATAAACATAGGGGTACATATGTCTTTTTCAAACTGGGCTGCTGTATTCTTAGGGTAAATTCCTAGGAGTGGAATTCCTGGGTCAAATGGTATTTCTATTTGAGCTCTTTGAGGAACCTCCATACTGCTTTCCACAGTGGTTGAGCTAATTTACATTCCCACCAGCTAGGAGGGTTCCCCTTTCTCCACATCCTCACCAACATTTGTTGTTGTTTGCTGGGAACTCCACCAGCAGACAAGCCCCCATCCACTGAGAGGCAAAGGTTCCCAATACACACATTAAAAAAGCAAGACAGAAAACAATTTGCAGAGAAGGTGACCACTTACATTAAAAAGAAAATGAAGGTCACCATCCAAAAGACAAACAACAGCAAATCACCTTCTCTGCAAATAGTTTTCTGTCTTGCTTTTTTAATATAAGTTTGTCTTGGGAACCTTTGCCTCTCAGTGGATGGGGGCTTGTCTGCTGGTGGAGTTCCCAGCAGTGACCCAGCTGGTGTGAAGGCAGGGAGTGTGACACATCCAGTGTGGCCACTGTGCCTGCCACCGGGCCCTCCCCTGTGCCTGCCACCAGTGTGGTTCCCAGGTACCCCTTGGAGACCGCAGCACTGGAGGGCTGTCTGCCTGCAGGCACAGGGGAGGAGATGGCTGTGTAGGGAGGGGCTCGGGAACCCTTGTCCCTGTTCTAAGGCATGTTTTTATAAAGACAAATCAAGCTAATGTTTTTAAATCATTAGTATTTATTTATTTTTTTGCTGATTTGTCCTTTTCACTGTCTTTCCCAGGCAAAAGTCCTAAGGTTTTAGTGAAAAATGTCCAGAGTCAGAGGTGAATTCAGATCTGTCTCTTGGATGTTGAAAGGCCTTGGGGGCATATGCAGGAAACCAGGGAGGGTCAGGACCAAGGGGTTCCTTGGGACCCCACCCGAAACTGCCACACCCCCACCAGGAAGGTACAGCACTGTCCCCCAGGCTCCCAGTTACTCCACACCCCCACCTGGGAGGGCAACAGCCCGCAAGGAAGCTGTGCTCCCCCAGCACCCCCACAGGAACCACACCCACCGGGGAGCTACATTCAGATGCACTGTGGCATCTGCTTTACTGAGCTTTCTCAGGTCTAGATGGAAAACAGGAAGGGAGTGAGGTCTGGGCAGGGAAAAGAGAATTCAGTGAAGGAAAGGTATCGGCCCTTCCCACGCTCCCGCTGCCCCCATCTGTGTCAGCCCCTGTGAATGTTCTTGCTTTTCCCAAGCAGCACAACATTTCATAGTGCTGGCTTTCATTCCCATTGCCTCACCTAACCAAGCATCTTTCTGTATTGTACTGCCTCATATACCTTTTCTAGTGTTGTAACAATCATCTTACTGTCTCTTTCTTTGTTTTACTGTATTTTATATTTTGATTATCTCACAACCCCTCCCACCCCCACCCCCAGATCTTTATTAGGAAACTGCACTAAAGCCACCTCTTTGGGGGAAAGCCAGTCTAATAACAAGTATGTGGAACTGTTGAATTGTGTTAAGAAAATTCACCATTACTTTGACATACACAAGATAATCTAAATGAGGCTGTAGGTGCCAAGGAGAACACCGAGGAGGCTGTGTGCCAGTTGCCTGAAGGACGGTCTTAGTGTTCAGGAAGCAGCCTCCTGCCATCTGGTTTCCATTCTCAATTTGCTTGACAAAGCTTTTCCCATGAATAAGGCAAAGGTGTGCTGTAGCCAAGGCATGAATTTACACATTAGTGGCATCCGCAAAACTTTTGCAGGCTGGGAATAGCTGCTCATTCCAACCTACCGGCCACAACTGAAGGGGGCACCCTGGGCTGCCCCCATCTGGCAGTTGTCTTGTGCCCAGTCTCTGAGGTGCAGCCCACCTGATGCTTACCACCCAGGAGGCCCACAGCATTTTGTAACAAGGCGTACGTTCTGGGGACTGGGGAAGCCACTTGCCTTTCCTCCACGTGGAGATCTTGGGCTCACCCAGCCTCCACTGGCTACCTCAGAGAAGACTAATTGCCAGCTAATTTGGTTCTGACTTATTTCCATAAACATCACCCATTCTGTGTACAATTCAGTGATTTTTAGTAAATTTGCAGCATGTACAGACCTCAATCACCCCAAACTAGTTTTAGAACATTTCCACCCTTTCACAAGAATCCCTCATACTGGGTATTCCTGGGCCATCTTCTCTGTTTCCTGTCTCAGTGGATTTGCCTTTTCTGGACATTTCATATACGTGGAATTACACAGCATGTAGCATCTGCTTCTGGCCTCTTGGAGAACCTTTTGGAGGTTCATCCCATTGTGGCATGTCTGAGCAGTTCATTTGATTGCTGAATAGTGTCCCCTTGTATGGATATACCACATTCTGTTCAACCATCCATCAGCAGACATTTGGATTTTTCCAGTTTGAGTCCATTATGAAAATGCTGCTGTGAACATTGGCGTCTGCTTATATCTGGACACATTTTCATTCTCTCAGGTAGATTCCTATTAGTGGAATTTCTGGGTCATGTGGTAAGTGTGATCTTTTCAAGAAACTTCCCAAACTATTTTCCAGGGTGGTTGTACCATTTTGCCTTCCCACCAGCAATGAATGTGAGCTCGTTTCCACACATCATCACCAGTTTGTTTTGCTGTTTTGTTTCAACTAGAGCCGTCCCCTTTCAGGAATATCAAAAGAAAATATTACTTAGATGAAATGATTGAGGTTGCAGGGCAAGTTTCGTTAATTGTTTATTAATTCTCACTGAATGTTCTTCATTCATTTGTTCATCCAGCCATTCAACAAGTATTTCTTGAACATGCACTATTGGCTTCATTCAGGAGTGAATAGGTTGGAAACTATCATCCTCACTTTCTCAGGAAGACAGTTATTAAACAGAAAAGGTCGTACCAACAGGCTGTCTTTCTGGGGTAGCAGTGTTCGCTGTGTGATGATGCCCTGGGCAGAGCACAGCTGTGGCACCTGACAGGGATCCCGCAGGGAGGTTAGGTTGGGTCATGGGCACACTGGTTGGACTGGCACCTGCCGTCCTCTGAAGCACCATCCACAGACAGGTGGCTGGAGCCTCTCTGGGGGCTCTGCCTCCACCTGGAGGTCCCAACACTTCCTAGATCTCAGACCCCATTGGCTGGCCCTACCCTGGGGCCCCAGGCCCCCGACCTGCCTGTGAATGTGGGTGGGGAACATCAGAAGCTCATTCTCACTGACCTCTAACTGGAATGTCAGTTTTCCTCTTGTGATAAATGTAGGAAAAAGCTCAAAGGTGTGTTCATCGTACTCATGGCTGGTCACCAGTAAAAATCAGCTCTTTTCCTGTTGTAACGGATGCCCCACATCTTGTCCCGTTCATCTGTACTCCTGAATTACACCCATTATCTGGCCGCTGCAAAATCTTGTTACCAAGTTAATACACATGTATTATCATAATTCTGTTTGTTTTAAATATTTTGATATTTTCAAGACAGTTGTTTTCTTTGTAATCATTTATATTCTGCATTAAAACCATATATTCTGAGAAGGGACCCAAGGGCAAAAGGGTCCATCTGTGGTGCACCAAAGGTTAGGAGCCCTTCTTTATGGCTTCCCTCCTGAGACCACACCAGCCCTGCCTGCAGACACAGCCCCACCAGGCCGCCTGCGCTTTTCACAAGCGCATGCAACATAACTGATATCCCTCTGCGCCCCTTCATCCCTGGGAGGGGTGTCAGAGACTTGGGCTTGTGGAGGCTCTCTCTGCAAGGCCAGGGCTCGCCAGGAGGGAGAACAGCACTTTTTCCTTCTTTTTCATTCAGGTAAATGTTCTTCAAGTTTTAATTATTATCCAATAAGGTAAACTTCTAGTTGCTTAAATAGCTTTCAGTGTGGATTCATTTGCATAAGATGAACATCACATTTCTTTCCTACAAAATACAATTTACCGTGCTTACTTTATGAGGAATAAGTTCTGATAAGAGCTGGGCTGATTACAAGGGTCCTATAAATATGCATAGTCATTGCATAGG